GCGCACGCTCGCGCAGTCGGGCTTTCCCGGCCACAGCGCCCGTGTGGTGAGCGTGTCCTCGGCCACGCACTACGTCGGCGACCTGGACTTGGACGACCTTCAGAGCAGGTGCGTGCAGGCTCCCCGTGGTCCCGGCCGCGGCCCCCGAGCTAAACTTCCGGCCGTGGGTCTGGGATGGCCGAACGGCTGAAAAGCCGTGGCCTTGCAGCCGGCCGTGAGGCCAGGGCCGCGGGCTGTCTCCGTGCAGAAGCTGTGCGGTGCTCTGTGTCCGTGTGCCCTGCAGGGCGCGTGGGCTGCTCCTGACCTTGGCCCGTTTCTGTCTCTGTCTCACCCCTTCGGCCTCTGATAAAGACTCTGTCACCGGGTGTAGGGCCACCTGGTCCAGGCTGACTCACCTTTCTTCCGTATCTGTTAGAATTTTCCTATATGTGATCAAATAACGGGCACCTATCGTTTTCTTTCAAAAACGTTTCTCATACGGGGACGAGACCATTCACACTGCTGAGTTTCCAGGTGTGGTCCCCGGACCAGCAGCATGGGCTCCCCGCCCCCTGGGAAACGGTTAGCAATATGGATGCTCAGTTATACCCCAGACCTGCAGAGTCACAACTCGGGGGGTGGAGTCAGGTGACTGAGTTTTAACAAGCCCTCCAAGAGGTTCCGATGCCCGTGACAGTTTGAGAACCACTTGGGTTTCAGCCACAAGTGCCTCTCCATGCAGAAAGGGTTGGTTGTCGGCTTGCACCTGGCGTAGACACCGCTGGTGATTGCTGTTAATTGGCAAGATAGATTTGCTGTCATGGAAATCGAGTGTTCTTGGAAAGGCATAAATCGGGGTGTCATAAAGCTCGCCAGAATCCAAGCGGGTCGAAACCCTCGAGAGGGCTCGTCTGTTCAGGTCGGCTGCACCAGAACCCTCCTCTGAAAGAAAAGGTGGCCAGGATCTCTCAGAATTACTCAGCGTCAGTGGACTTGGCTCATGACGTAACGGGTAGCTGTGTTAAAGAAATAAGTCGTACTTTGGGGAGAAGAGATAAAACGTTAAGCCCAATACATTACATTATTCCTAAGTTAAGTGTTCCATCTATGAGAGAGAGAGAGAGACAGAGAGAGACAGAGAGAGAGAGAGAGAGAGAGAAAGAGAGAGAGAGAGCGAGCGAGCGAGAGAGAGAGGGAGAGAGCGAGCGAGCGAATTCTGTATTTACTTTCAGAAATCGGCTCACAGAAAGGCTGGTAAGTCCTAAATCCTCAGGGTCGACCACCTGGTTAGAGTCGATGCTGCTGCTTTGACCTTGAAATCCATTGACTTAGACGAAGAGTATAATGCTGCTGCCTTGAGGCCGAATTTCTTCTTCTTATGGCAGGGGGGACGGGGGGACTCACTCGTCTCTTCAGGCCTTCCACTGATTGGGCGAGGCCCACCCACCGCGTGAAGGGCAATCTGCTTTATTCCAAGTCTACTAATTTCGGCGTTAATCACATCTTAAAAATACCTGCAGAGCAACATCCAGGCTGGCATCTGACCACAGCCCTGGGCACTGTGGCCTGGCCACGCTGACATGTATAATGAACCACAGCATGCGTGGCTGTGGCCGGGACTTCTCCAGAGGCGATGGTGACCGGCAGGTCATATCGTCCCGGACGTGGCTCTGCCGACCGCCTGCCTTGGACTCCGGTTTGTCTGTGTGCTGGGCCTCCTGT